TTTTGATTATATTTCTATTGCATTGATTTCTGCCCTTAATTGTTCTATTTCCTTGGATTTATTTTACTCCCTCCCCAACTTCTTGAGATGATTATTTTACCTTTACCTAACCAGTTTCTTCTAGTCATTTGCAATAATCGAAGAGTAAGGTTCTAGAACCACTTTCCTGGAAGCCAGAATCATAGTAATCCCTCATGCCTTGCCTCCTCCACAGGAGTCTCACTATGTAGCCCAGGCTGAAATTTCTGATCCTCCTGCTTCAACTTTCTAAGTATTGGGGTTACAGGTGTGCTCTATTACATCGTCTTTATGACGTTCATTACAGACTCTTTACGGCAGGAGCTCTCAATCTGTGGGTGGAATCACCCTTTCACGGGGTGGGGGCACTCAAGACCATGGGAAAACACAGTCATTTACATTATGATTCATGACAATAGCAAACTTACAGTTAGGACGTAGCAAAGAAAATAATTTTGTGGTTGGGGGTCACCACAACATGAGGAACTGTATTAAAGGGTATCAGCATTAGGAAGGTTGAGAACCACTGCTTTGCAGACTTTTAAACAGGTTCATATAGATAGACTTATGTGAATAAAAGGTGGCAATGTGCCTATAATTCCAACTGCCTGGGATGCTGAGGCCACAAGGATCAAGAGTTGGAGGCTTGGCTCAGGCAACAGAATCCTAGCCTCCTACTCCAATTAAAATAATCAAAGGAAACTTTTACCTTAGGAAAATGCAGACTCCTCCAAATCTGTCTAATGACCCACAATGTGCTGACAAATTTGTGACTTACATTCAGGCATTAGTAGACATGAAACCCATTAATAAAGGCCTGGTCATTGCAGCAAGATTGGTCATAGCTTCAGCTATCAACCTGACACAGATGGGAAGGAGCCTCAACCAAAGAATTTCCCCCATTGGGTTAGCTTGGTGGCATGTTTGTGAAGATATTCTCTTAAATGCTAATTGACGTAGGAGGTCCAATCCACTGTGGGCAGTGCCACCCCAGGGGAGGGAGCCCTGGATAGCATGAGAAAGGCAGCTAAATTAGTCAGAGCAAGGGAACCAGTGAGTGGTTCTGTTCCTGCCTTTGCTTCTCAATTATGAACTGGAAGCTGGAAGCCAAATAAGCCCTTTCCTCTCCAAGTTGCTTTTGGTCTCTTATGTTTATTATAGGGACAGAGAAGCAAACTAGGGCAACTAGAGGTTTTGATCTGTGCTGGAAATGATGTTTTGGATATAATAACTGAGCAGGGACCTGCCAGTCCAGGCAAAAGGTGATGAAGGGCTATTCCTGCAAGATCAGTATGAGGGCTTCTTCCAGGGCTCTAAGACCTGAGTGAATGTGTACTGTTTGATATGAGGATAGCTACATCAAGGATCCCAAAGCCTCAGCGCCATGGCAGTGGCGAAGCAGGCTCAGAGGGATGGCAAAGCTTCCCTCTGGTCCAAGTGTGGAGGCTGATAGTGTGCTCAGAGAACTCCATCACAGCTTCCCTCAATCTGGTCACAGCTTAAAGACTGCTCCTCTGTAGACTGCTTCTAACAAGATTGGCTAGACCTGCCTCCAAGTTCAGCTGTATGCAATAATCCTACCTCGCTGTGCAACCACAGATAATAAACACACTGACCTACCAGGGTGCTGTAGCTTCTCTAGCAGAAAACCCAGGCTACCCAACCCCAGCTGTTCTGTGTCTGCCTTTTCTTTGTTCCTGTGCCACTCCAGTTAGGTCAATCTCTAGAGCTGTGCAGAGTATGGTGCCTCCTTGTAGTGATCATTTTCCCACAGTGAGCACACGTCATTTCCCAGGAGACTGTTCCTTGGAAAGGGGAAGAATACTGTAAATATTAGGTAGTTGGTGCTGTACTTCTCAGGCAGGTCACTGGGTTCTGCTATGTAGCAGGATAAAAGGACTCCCACTTTCTTGTTTCTAAGGTTCTAGATGTCACAGCCCATGTATGTGTAACTTGTACTTTGGCTCAGCACTCCCCAACATCAGATGACTATGAGGGTTCACTCTGTGATGAGAGCACTTGAGAGAGTAACTCCTTTAGGACCCCTTAAAGATGAGCACCTGTTACACAGTTTTAAAATACAGGCTTGGGGGCTAGGCAGATGGATCTCTTCGAGTCTGATGGCAGCTTTGTTTATATAGTGAGTTCCTCGTAGGCCAGAGCTACATAATGAGATCCTGGCCCTCCTCCCCACCCTCCCCACCCATTCTCATAATAAACGAAAAAAATTTGTATTTTGCAAAGTCTTCACATGTGCATTCCCTCACAAAATTGCCACTGAAACCAATTGTTTTCCTCATTTAAGAAACACCAGCTGGGTGGTGGTGTGGTACTCTTTTAATCTCAGCACTAAGGAAGTGGAGACAGGAAGTGATATGACTGGGAAGAGAGGAATATAAGGCAGGACAGTCAGTCTGAGGAGCAGTCATTCTGAGGAGACAGTGTAAGGACAGAAACTCTAGTGGCCGGCTGCTCTGCTTCTCTGATCTTTCAGCTTTCACTCCGATAGCTGACTCCAAGTTTTACTGTTAAGACCAAAGAGAATTTGTGCTTCACTCTGCTGCCAGGCTGGCCCCAACCTTATCCCTGTCTTGGCCTCAATGCTGGGATCACAGGGATGCACCACCATGCCTTGTCTTGGAAGAGTCTTTGGGGCTCGGGATCCTTTCTCTTCTACCAGGCCATCTTTAAGTATAAAATCTTTTGTTCCAGAGCATGTCCATTACTTTGCTCAGAAAAAAAGAAGTACTCAAAAATTCAGTATAAAAATCCACAAGAGATAAAATAACTTGCTATCAGCATCTTCCCAGTGGCATTCCTGATTTCCAGTCACAGGGTCAGGTCTCTGCACGCTTGGTGCAGTGCAGATGTGTTCTCCACCCCATACAATCACTGCCCCACGGCTTTCTGGCCAAATCAAGTACATTATGAGAGAGGCAGGATAATACATTCCCAGAGACCTGAATAAGTGACCTCACAAAGCGAAATAGATCTTTCAGCAAGCTTACCTGAGAGCAAGCTGTTCCAAGCTCTAACAGGGAACTGGTAATGGAATATTAAAAAGCCCAAACTGAGATTCCTGCTAGGAAACTAACAACACAAAATACTATAATTTTACAAAAGTTTGTAAAAGATTGCCGATTGGCTGTGGTGAAACTCTCCGTGGCTAGAAGCGACATACTGAAAACTTAAATGCCTGACATCCATTTGGACTTTTAGGTCGAAGAATTGGGAACATGGCAAGTTAGAAAGGGAATTTAAAGATCTGAAGTTCAAACATTAGGTCTGAGAGCACTGGCTTACTGTGAAAAACATTGTGATTAGATGACTATGGAGTCTTGCAACTGGCATTCTGCTTGGAACTGGGTAATCTTTTTCTAAAACTGATCCCACAACATGTTCCCTAAATATCAAGAGGATTTTAAAGTCTATGCTAACAGTAGAAAAGTTATTACCACTTTGGGGTTGTAGACTAAAGATTAAAAGAATGTTACTTAATTCATCAACTCAAATACAGAGTATGATTTTCCTTTATCTTTTTCATGTGTGTGGTATGCATGCATGTTTCCATGCTCCAGGAATTCTGTCTAGACTTCTGGAGTTGCAGGTGAGCTGCTCTTCCTGGCTGGCACTTATGTTGGCTCTGGGAATGTGAGCTCTGGTTGTGCTGTTCTCTAGATAAGCACTTTAACTGCTCAGCCACCTCCCCACCCCCTCCATGTTCCTTCTGTCAAAACACTTTTAAGTTGTGTTATATGTGTATGTCTGAACACATGAGTACAGGCACCCATTGAGGCCAGAAGAGGGTGTGTCAGATCCCTTAGAGCTGGAGTTACAGGCAGTTGTAGCTGTGGGAAATGGGGTGTGGGTGATGAGAATTGAACTCAAGTCCTCTGCAAGAGCAGCAAGCATTTTTAACCAGTAAGTCATCTTTCCAGGCCCTGGGTGTTCTTTCTATAGTGCCTTCAGGACATCATTAATTCCCTCAGATCTCTAAGTCAAATGTGTGAGTAAATTATTTCCCAGCATTTATAATAACAAATTATTACATATGTTGTGTGTGCATGCACACACACAAATGTGAAAGGACAACTTGTAGGAGCTAGTTCTCCAGCAAGTGTCCCTAACTGCTGTGTCATCTTGCTAGTGCTTTGAAGTTTTTTAAAAAAATTATTTTTATGCTTAATGAGTCAAATATAGGGCTCTACTTGGGAGTATTTTCCCCAAAGCTGTAACAATCAGCATGATGACAGCTCAAAAGTAAGGGCTTCTTTCTTAAAAGTTACATAGCTTGTATTAAAACAGAAACAGAAGCCACCTCAATTGGAATTCTATAACTGTCATCAAAAGCTCCAGTGCTATTGGCTTTTAAACCCTAGACCTCTGCTCAAAGATGTGTATGACCACGCCTTGGATGCCCATGAGCAGTGCGAAGCCGGAGCTGTAACCAAGCTCTAGTCTAACATGTATGTAATTATGCAGCTTTTCCAGTTAGAAAATCACTCCAAGCCAACACTGAAACACTGGGATTATGAAGACATTTTCAATTGTCCAAGAGAAAGAAAGGGGGAAAGCAACTTGCCTGGCAGACTTACAAGTCTCTGCATGGGTAAGTGGTCTATCTGGGGGAGTAGAGAACAAAGGAAACCATTCAAAGACTGGGACAAGTCACTCCTGCCACTGCTCCGCTTCAGCTCTTCATCCTCTACTTTAAGTTGCTCATCCCTTCGTGATACGGTTCTCAGCTATTACAGACACATTTTCTACACAGTCTCACCAAACTTTCTCTGCAAAGGAAAAAAGCTTCTACTAGTGAATATTTGACTTAAATGATACAAAAAGTGATCTTAGAGATTTATTGCAAGGTTAATTACTGTTGAAAAACTGCATATGCTTCCTCAACACGAATAAGAGTGATAATCTTGAACTTCCCACTCAAAAGAAGAGAAACAACAAAATCCAGGATGTCAGCCAGAAAGCTGTAAACTTGTTTCCTGCCCAGGAAAAAGTTTAATTGATCACAAGTAAGCTACAATTTATGTCACAAGGTATTTTTTTTTTTTAAATAACAAAGGTCTTGCACACCTAAAGGTAAAAAATACATGATTGGCCCACCCCAACCAATTTAATCTCATCAGTCTTGTGTGCCAGTTACAACAGCCTCAGAACTGCTGACACAGAGTGAATCTTATTAAATTATTACAGACCCCAAAGATGATTCCTTATAGTAAATGCATGTGTTTTAAAAAACGCACAGTAAGGCTGAGTGGGAAGGGTCTACATTAAGTAGACCCTTAATGTAGGTGAGGGAGAAATAAGTCTTCTAAAGCAAAAACTCCTTGGCAGTATTTTATAAATACTTCCCAACTGTCTTTATTTTTAATTAAAAAATTTTTATGTGTATAGGTGTTTTTGCCTGAATGTATGTTTGTACATCACATTGTGTCTTGTGCTCACCAAGGCCAGAAGAGGGTGTTATAGCCCTAGGAACTGGAGTTACAGATGGTTATGAGCTGCCATGTGGGTGTTGAGAATTGAATTCAGGTCTTCCTGAAGAGTAGCCAGCGCTCTTAATCAGTAAGACAACTCTCCAGCCCCTTTTTCTTTTACAAAAGAACAACTTGAGACCAGTGACCATTTGATTTGCCTTGTCCATTTCCAACCTCACTCAACATTATGTTTTGACATTTGTATTTCCCTTTTTCTTTCGAGTATATGAATTCTTCTACAGAATGACAGTGGTCTCTGCTGACACTGAACTTAGGTCTTAGACATTACCACCAAGAGCTGATTTGAGATTTTTTTTGGTATGTAACAGGCAACTAAATGTGTGTGGGGTGGTGAACTCATGAAAACTAAACATTCTAGTGGAGAAGTGACTGATACAAATAAGGTTAATAATTTTAGAGCTGGGAGGCAACGTAGAAATAATGTAATTGACATTTCATAAATATAAGAATAAGGTTCAGGTTTGGTTAACATCACATTTCTCATAGATGTCAAAGCTAGAACTACAGTTTGGGTCTAGTATTTCTTATTAATTACTCCTTACACCACAGAGTATTAATGAAGAATTTCTGTTATGTAGAATTTCTGCTATGTAGAAGTTCTGCTACGGAGAATCCTCTCTCAACAAATCCTTGTTATTAAACCAAAATTAAAAAGTTCAAATTCTGATTCTAATCTTTTAGTTCACATTCTGTCGAATGAAAAGTTGGAAGGATTTAAAGTAAGAAAGGGCAGCTCAGGGTACCCAGACATTCCTCGTCCTGAGACAGGCAACTCTTACACCAATGCTGACATCTGCCATCTGCCTTGCAGTTTGTAAAGGTGTGTGAGCAAATTCAAAGATGGAGAGGATTTAACAGCAGAGTGTGGGCACTGAGCACAGCTCCTCCATGGCTGCTGCACCCATAGGCAAGCTTCCCGCCAAGGTGGTACTGTCAAAGAGCTTACATGCACAGCTGTTGCATTCAGTACAAATGAAGGAGCTATACACTTATTCTTTAGAACATAGATGGAAGGAAAGTAAGAGAGTCAGGCAAAAGCTAAACTAAGAGAAAGTTTCCACTGATAAATTACCTAATGTGAGTTCATAATGCCCAGGGAGTGTGACATTATCCCTGTATGGTGTGTATTTAAGGTTGCATGGGCTTTAAGGTGGCTGTCTGCATTAAGAACTTAAAAAAATTTAACAAGAAATTTATAAGAGAAAATCTCAAATTTCAAGAAGTAAAAATGAAAATTTGAAAAGTTAACATATATTTGTTTTTATTTATAGATAACTACTGTAGAATTATAGAGAAGGAGAAGGGCATCAAAATGAAACTTGAAAAGGGTCGGTGAATGCATGCTGGGACTAAGAACAATGTTGCTACACAGCAAAGGCAGCGAGAACATAATCAACAAGGAATTATTACTGTATTGCATAATAAGGAATTGTGGTTATTTAGAAATATGCAGAACTTATTTAGTCTGTGCTTTAGAAATAATTATATATAGTATTACAAGTTGAAAAGAATCCAAAAGAATAATTAACAATATACACCTATTCGTTAGAATTCAGAAAAGGCTGCATTCTGTAAAGTCGTCAGCGGTATTAAAAATGACACCAATCCAAAACGAAATGAATATAATATAAAAGGGGCATTGTAAGTTTTGTTTCCTGCATTAAACCCAGTTTATCCATGGAATTTCCTTTTAATACTCATTTAATCAGAAGCATGCAAATAGTTTAGGATGTACTTAATCATCTGTGCCACTTTCATGGCTAGGCAGGGATTCGAGCAGCCGCCTCCTCCTCTGCATCAGCTCGGTTTGCATTAATTTCTGCAAGTGTTCGGCCAAATCTTGCCCATTCATCATTTCGGGGAACAGCGATCTGCTGTTAAAAGAAAGACAATGTTTGCTGAGCAACAAAATAAAAGATCATCATATCTACTATTACTCTGTTTTCAAATAATTTTTCCATTAAAAATTAATAATTGACCCAAAGGACCTTTCCATAATCATCAAGACTATAACAATGATTTACAACATTTCAAAACAAAAGACAGTATTTGTGAAACATGTCATGACAGCTGAGACATAAATTTTCTGTTACCACCACAGTGCAAGGACAGTAATGATGCTTTGCCAACAGACTTCCTGGCACCTCTATGGATCTTGCTGGAGAGAAATTCCTTCAAAATTTTTAGTATAATGGGAGGACAAGAGAGAGAGGGGAATAGGGATTGGTATGTAAAATAAGATTGTTTTTAATTTAAATAAAAAATTAATAATTTTTTTTAGTCTATTTCTTGCACATTGCTAGTATGAATGATATTTTATTGTTTTTGTTTCTGAGAGAGGATTTCTTTATGTAGCCCAGGGTACCTTCAACTCATGATCCTCCCAAGTCCCTGGGTTCTGTGTCCAGTAAAGCAGTGACAAGAGAGCTCAACTCATCTTGCTCAACTCCATCTCAAGCCTTTTCTCATAGTTACCGAAGAACTACGGAAAGGAGCTGGAGAGATGGCTCAATGGCCAAGAGCACTGGCTGCTCTTCCAGAGCACCTGGGTTTGATTCCCAACACCCACAAGGTGATTCACAACAGCCTGTAACTCCAGTTCAGGGGATCCAATACCCTTTCCTGACACCCCACAGGCTCTTGCATGCATACAGTGCACCTACATCTACTCAGGCATACATATGTGCATTAAATATCTTTGAAAAAACCCTATCAAAAAATGGGTTCTACTATCTGGCGCAAACAAATCTATGAATACAAAAAAATAAAATTTTATCTCAACATCAATTCTATAAAACTCCAAGTCCACTTGTAATCCCACATTTCCTTTTCTGCCGAAAGAATTCCTAGCAATGCAGGCCTCTGGAAGCATGGTACTGTGTCCCTACAGCATTATCCTCACATTTGCTGCACATGGGCTCAGGACACCCAGTTAGAGAGACAACCTCAGAAGCTGCTTCTGTGGTAAAGTACACACCCATGTAGTTTATACAATTCATGAGGCACACGTCAAAACTTAGTTGCCATGATACCTTCACCACAGTGACACCAAGCAGATGTATCAAAATTATAGGCCCCATACCTCTCCCACATCATATATGATAATCTGTCCTTCAGAATCGCCCACGGCAATCTCTCTTCCTGACTGGGTCCATCTCACACGGTTAAGAGCCGGGTTTCCCTCCACAGAAATGCTGGCAGTCGGTACCTAAGTCATTTAAAATATAGCACATTTAAAAGTTTCATCCAAGTTTCTAGACACATAAAACAGTCATTCTTCAAAAAAAAAAAAAAAGTCATTCTTCTCCAATCTGGGCTTTTAAAAAGCAGATGATAATAGACAAAAGATAATCCCAGCACTCAGGAGGCAGAGACAGGCAGATCTCTGAATTCTAGGACAGCCAGGGCTACACAGAGAAACCCTGTCTCAAAAAACCAAATTCAACCCCCCCACCCCCAAAACAAACAACAACAAATTTCCCACCTTCCCTCTGTTCAGAGATTTAATATGATGACATTACCTTCAACCCTTGAAGAGGAGTTGGGAAAACACCCAGAACTTATCTAAGAAATTCTCACATGGCTGCACATATCTCCTCAGTAAAAGCTTTTTGTGTTTAACTTTTTTTTAAGTAGTCAAGCTGTTTAAAAACATGAGACTAAAACCCATTTTAAAATATCTTTAAGAAAATATTTCCAACACCCTCATTTCCAACAGATCACAGCTCAATTTTAGAGGACAGGAGTTACTTCTGCTTATACCTTCTGCTTATACCTTCCCCAGCTAAAACGGGATGATCTGATCGACAGCAGCTCCGGGAATCAGCTTGTACTTTCAGTACAATAAGCTTTCCCAAGCCCCAATCAATCCCAAAAAGGCAAGAGACAGCATCAATAGGGCAGCAGGCTCTGGAGTCTGACTGCACCTCGGCCACACCTGGAGTAACGTTAACTGATGTAGACCAAAAAGCATAATTAAACTTAAAAGTTTGAAAAATCACTAAAGTAGTCCTTATACTTACATCAGTCTTTCTCAAGTGATTAGCCCAGAGATATTATAACCGGACTACTAAAGGAAAGATCCTCAATTAATTATAGCCATAAATCTTTGGTAGCAAAATGTAAGCTAAGAAAGTAAATAAACTTGGGCAGGGCATGGTGGTGCATGTCTTTAATCTCCACACATGGGGTGGTTGTGGAGGGTAGAAACAGGTAGATCTCTGTGAGTTCAAAACCAGCCTACCCTACATAGTGAGTTCCAGGGCAATGTAGTGAGCTTGCCAAACAAACAAACTTGTGCCAGTCTAGAAGACCAACAATCAAAATTTAATTATGTAGCTCACACTTTTTTCCTAGCAGTATTTGAACATTCCTCCCCAAAGCACAGAACCAGTAGATAACTGTTAGGGAATATCATTTTCAAGTGTGTGACTTTTGTTTATGTTGCATTTGTTTAACTTTGTGAAGCTGTGTTACTTTGCCTGTCTAAAACACGTGATGGTCTAATAAAGAGCTGAACAGCCAATAGATAGCAAGGCAGGAAAAAGGAATAGGCAGGGGTGGCAGGCAGAGAGGATAAATCTGAGGAGATATCTGGGAGGAAAGGATCTGAGGACTGGGGAACAAGAGAGGAAGGAGGAGGACTTCAGAGGCCAGCCACCAGCCAGACATGGAGTAAGGAGAGAAAAGGTATACGGGAATCGAGAAAGATAAAAGTCCCAAGGCCATAGATGGGGTAATTTATGTTAAGAAAAGTTGGCAAGAAACAAGCCAAGCTAAGGCCAGGCACTCATAACTAAGAATAAACCTCTGTGTGTGATTTGTTTGGGAGCTGAGTGGTGTGGCCCCCAAGAAAGTACAAAAAAAGACTAAAGAGACAAAAGAGTAAAATACCACACTATGGAGAATAGCATTAAAATTCTTGTGTTTCCAACATATCTCTCCTTTCCTCATCGTTGTATACCAAAGTACTTGACTTCCAGGCATCAGAAGAAATGAGAGGGCACTCTTCCACAACCACTATTGATAACTGGCAGCATCACTTCTGCTAACCAGTGACCTGTAGGCAATATAGGGACCTAAAACCATTTTAAGACTCTGTCAACTAGCTAAGAATAACTCATAGACACAGTTAAACTGCATTGCCAAATTTGTGATAGCAATTAGGAAATGTGCTGGTTTCTACATTTATTATTATTATTATTACTATCTTATTATTATTATTATTGGTGGTGGGAATTAAACCCAGGGTCTTGCACATGCTAAGCAAATGTTCTACCCTTGAATACATGCCTAGACCTTGGTTTTTTGAGACAGGGTTTCTGTGTAGTCCTGGATGTCCTGGAACTCTCTGAAGACCAACCTGGCCTTGAACTCACTGAGATCCACCTGCCTCTCTCTCCTGAGTGCTGGGACTAAAGGCATGCATCATCGCCACTGGGGTTCAGACCTTGGATTTTGGAGACAGGATCTTGCCATATATGACGCCTCTAACTCATGATACTCTTGCTTCTGCCTTCCAAGTGCTAGGTTTACAGGCATCTGCCATCATACCTAGTTCTATACTCACTTTATAGTTTATGATACACTGATCTTAATCCCTCATAGAAAAGGGCCATCAAAATCTATTGCCTTTCTTTCAAACGAGTCAGGGAAGACTAGCATTTATGGATGATACACGACCCTCTCAAGGCTAACAGGTAATTCAGAATTACGGTTAACACTCTTTGACAGTGTGCAGTTATCTTTTTCTAGCCTAAGAATGAAAGCATATTCCAAGCCCCGTGGACTTCTCCTGGACAGCAGACACACGATGCTGCTTTTCAGAAGGAAAGAGTGCCCCAGTGTTCACGGCAGCGCTACTTCTCCCTTCAGCTCCGCACAGCATGCTGTTTGTTATTTAGGGGACAAAGCTGATTTGGTTTCTTTGTGATGAAGCTACAATCACAGAGCATTTTTGCATTCTTTGGGATAAAAGAAATTTCACAAATTATTCAATAAATCTCTGATTTTCTGTTATTTTCCTGCTCACCTCTGTGTCATTGTTGAGATTCCACAGATCCAGTCTCCCCATGCCATCCACACAGGCAAACAGGGCTGGGTGGGTGGGTGACCACATAACATCATAAACATAGTCGGAATTATCTTCAAATGAGTACAAAGGCTTGTTATTCTGAAAAGGAAAAGTTAATTCTTAGCACAGTCAGCATACGATACAAACAGAAATCCCTAACTACTTATCACTGAGACGAGGCAGATTCTGTAGGCACAGTTTCATACATACCAACCCCGCCTAGAAATGTTCCCATAGTTTGTTTCTCTATAGAATCACCTGGCATTATAAACAAGAACCAAGTATTAGGTTACAGTTCCTTTTTAGCTTGTAGAGGTCTTACTGTTTTTGAAAAAGGAATAGAATATGCTTCAAAACGTTTGCCAGTGAGCAGCTGCTGGAAGATGACAGCAGGGGCACTATACTTCTTCAATCACCTGGAAATCTCTCCACAGAAGCAGATAAAGCAACAGGAACAGTGAAAGCAAAGCCTCACAGAGTCTCCAGTAAAAGGGAAACCAACTCCAGCTGGAAGCAGGGGGAGCTAAGCTCTCCCAACTACAAAACCTGCATGGTACTAGCATCTGTGTGGGAAGAAGTGACTGACAGCTGTGGGACAGGCGCTCACTTGGCAGCATGATGAGAAGCCTGAGAACAGCAGAAACTAGGGGAGTTCAGCATCTTTTCATTTATAACGAATGCCACAGGTGCTGATGATGTAAGCACGGTCTCATGCTGTTGTCTGGGTCACACATACTCTTAGAATTGACAGACTTGAGTGTGGGTGTGGAGGTTGGAAGACAACCTGTGGGAGGCAGTTCTTTACTAGGTGGATCTTGAGGCCTGAACTCAGGCTGTCAGGCTGGGTGGAAGGCAACTGTTAAGCCATCTTGCCAGCTCAATAAAAAGTTTTAAACTGTGAGTTTAAATGTTAAGATATGACAGTTAATGTCAATAGCATGATTATTGTAGTAGCCCAAAATGTTTGTTTTTAACTAAAAAAAAGCAACAAAAAAAACCCCCCCCCCCCCCCTGCCCCAATGAACAAAATATTAAAAAAAAAAAACAAACAAACACAGAAGAGGATTTTTTTTTCTGTTTAAGTCACTGTTATGAGAGTAAGGATACAGCTTGCCTAGTCCAGAATGTGCACACAATCACTGGCTAAGCTTTGTAAAGCCACCCCAGAGGTACTTTGTTGGTATTTCTGGTCCACCAAAGATTCTAAAGTCTTTGACTACTGGGGTGACAGAACACTTCAAATATCCCATTTCCAGGTAGTTTTAAGGTCTATCTTGAAAAACTTAAAGCTGTTAACAATCAAATTCATGCCAGCCAGTGGTGGCACATGCCTTTGATCCCAGCATCAGGAGGCAGAGGCAGGTGGATCTCTGTGAGTTCAAGGCCAGCCTGGTCTACAGTCTACAGAGTTCCGAACAGCCTACTAAACAAAGAAACCCTGTCTCAAAAAACAGTAACAAAAAATTCAAACCAATCATATTCGTATGTTTAATAAAAATGTGTGTGTTGGGGACTAGGGCTGGGACTGGGGTAGAGCACTTGCCTAGCATTCTGGAGGCACTAGAATCAATTTCAGCACTGGAGGAAACAAAAAGAGTGATGGTCTATGTGCTGGACAGAGCTCAATGGTAGATCAGGAACTTGTAGACTCACTTGGAATTGCTAGGTACTATCTATTTAAGCTGAATACATATACATGTCCTCTACCAAGCCATTGCATGCTAAGCATATGCTCAACAGAATTGTTTATGGCCATCAAAAGACAACTATGACCTGGCATGGTGGTACGCACCTGTAATCCCAGTACTTAGGAAGATTATATGTTTGAGGCCAGCCTGGGCTACACAGCAAGACTCTAATTAGAACACAAAAGGGAGAAAAAGACAACTGAACCATACTCCTAGCAGAACTGAAGTAACCCACATATCATCAGCAGAATGGATACATAAACTACGCTTTATTTTCATGGCTGAAAAAAGAATGATCTGTAACTATACCCAGCAACATGAAACTCACAATCATAGCATTCAGCCAGCCAGAATGCATGCATACTCCTTTTTTACAAACTACAAACTATTAAAAAGCAATATGAAAATTAGGTTAAAACATTTATGATAGGGCTAGAGAGATGGCTTGGCGCTTAAGAGCACTGTCTGCTCTTCCAAAGGTCCTGAGTTCAATTCCCAGCAACCACATGGTGGCTCACAACTATCTGTAATGAGATCTGATGTCCTCTTCTGGCCTACAGGCATATATGCAGGTAGAACACTGTATACATAATAAATAAGTAAATCTTTAAAAAACATTTATAATAAAAAGAAGATTGCTAATTGTCTCAGGAAATGGTCTGATAAAATATTTAATCTACTCAGTGGATTTCTATATAGCTTGGGTAATGTATCATAATTTTATTTCATTTAGAAAATTTTGTTTGTTTGTTTTTTGAAGACAGGGTTTCTCTATGTAGTCCTGCCTGTCCTGGACTCACTCTATAGACCAGGCTGGCCTTGAACTCAGAATATGCCTCCCTCTGATTCTCAAGTGCTAGGATTAAAGGTTTGTGCCACTACTGCCCAGCTGAAAGGACCACAATTTTAAAAATTATGTGGGGAAAAAAAGTACAATGTCTTTCAATTTAAAATGTGACTATTTTAAAACTCTTTTCTAGTTAAATTTGAAAAAAAAAAACATAGTTACCTGAGGATTAGCCAGTTTCACCCCACAAAGAAAATGCACATATTTAACATCAAATAATGATTCATAGTACAGTGATTTAATATATAATATTGCAAATTAAAAGCCCAAGTGGAACGTTTAAATATCTTTTCCAAGTGGTATCTTCCCTTACTTTGAAGAGCATTCTGCCTTACTGGCACTGAGGCAGCAGGGAATCTGGAGAGGGGTGGAGCCTACCCTGTTGTCTCAGTCCAGTCAGCAACCAGCTTCAAGGCTTTGAGAAAAGTCACTCATTCTTTCTAGGCTTGTTTCCTTGTTTATAAAACAAAGGCTTCATATTGGTGGTTCTGAAGCCGACTTATGCTGTGACCACCTAGAGAGTCTTAAGGACAGTGTGTGGGGCTCTTTCAGGGTCTGATCTCACAGATCTGGGTGTCAGGGGGATGAGAAACTCTGAGCCATATAATGTATAATAGGTCTCATATTCTTACTCACAAATGACCTGCAAAAACATATTTACCAAGAAGTGAAATTAAGACAAAGGTCTTCTGTGAAAAAACAAAAACATGCTATGTGAATAAACAATAATCATTTGGTTCTGCTGTAACAATAAACACTACACAGTCAAGGGATAGGGCATACAGTTTTTCCTAAGCTCAAGGTATATGCTAGGTTGAATGCTGTTGCCCTAAAATTCATGTCTGTCTAGTCCTTGTAAATGTAACCAAGTTAAATAGGTTATACTATACTAGGGTGGACCCCACATCTACTATGATTTGTGTTCTTAAAAAAGGAAACTTGGATGCAGAGATATAATGAAGCAACCAGTTCAGAGGTCATGTGATGATGACAAAGGCAGAGAGAGACTGGAGGGATACAGCTGCAGGCCAGAACACCAAGGATTCATGGCAGTCACCAGATGCTAGGAGACAAGTATGGAACAAGTTCCCAGATCCTCCAAGGGTAAACAGTCACCCATACCTCCTAAACCATGACAACAGATTTCTGTTATTTTAAGCCACTGTGTGATAAACCGTTAGAGCGGGAATAAGAACCTAATACAGATTTTTTTTTTTTTAAAGGCTGGAGTAATTGGGACGTTCTAGATTAGTAACAGTCAATACATCAGAGTTAACAGTGAACTGGAAATAACTATGACCTCAATTTAGATGATGAGAGAAATAAACAAACATGGCTGGAAAGATGGCTCAGAGGTTAAGAGCATATACTTTTCTTGCAGAGGACAACACCCACATCCAGGAAACTGCCTGCTCCAGGGAATCCAATGCTTCTGACCCAATGCTTAACCTACCCCCAAAAACACCCACACACACACACACACACACACACACACACACACACACACACACACACACACACACACAATCATCCCAAGGTCAAAAATACCTTCCTATATTATTTGTCTAAAGATAATCTCTGCAGAGTGTATATATACTAAAAGTCTTTCAAGGAAAATGAAGACAGCACCATTTCAACACTGTCCAGAAGAGAGGGAATCTCAGACAACAGACTGTGAGAATCAACTACCCCATGGCAAGGCTATCTTTACTTGAAGATGAATGAATCAAGCTATCTTAGCTTGATGCCACTGAATATTCAAATGATAGAACTTCTTTTGTTCTAAGTCCTTGCTCACCAAGCAATCTCTGATTATAATTTGGCTTCCCATGTGGGTAGTCTACAGGGAAACAATGAGCTGGTCAGGCCAGCAGGAGTATCTGGGCCTTCTCGAAGTTAAATTTCCGACTGTAAATTAATAAATTGATATTCTACAATGTACTAGTGAGTTAGGAGCCTTGTTAGTTATATTTCCTTTGTCTAATCAATGCCAATAGCTAACAAAATTGACTTTCAGATATGCAAAGGAGGCTAGACACTGGCCTGTTGCAAGTTACTGAGGTAAGTACCACCAGGTGGGACTGGGTTAGATCATCAGTCAACCTTCCCTCAGACACGCCCTCAATTTCAAAGCATATTTTCATCTTAACTTGTCTACTACATGAACATTTCTTTTTCTAAACACCCGTAGGCTCTTTTAACCATCTTTAATGCTAGTGTTACTGAGAATTAAGCAGGCATGCTGCCTGATTAACGATGGGCATTGAAACACTGGACTGTGAAAAGTTCAAGTAGCAAATGGATAACAAAAATCTGAAAACTTTTTTGAAGTATGGCCCTATTAACAATCTTAACTCTGCCAATTCATAGTAAATATGGTCCTGAAACTACAATATATTATGGATACATTAAGATATTGTCTCCTTGCTGGGCGGTGGTGGCGCACGCCTTTAATCCCAGCACTCGGGAGGCAGAGGCAGGTGGATCTCTGTGAGTTCCAGGCAAGCCTGGTATTCAGAGCAAGTTCCAGGACAGGCTCCAAAGGTACATAGAGAACCCTATCTCAAAAAACAAAAACAAACAAAAAAGATATCGTCTCCTGTAAATACTTCTTTTAAGAATAACCTATGACAGGCACATTAAGATGTGCTTGAACATTCATCTAATTACCAGGTTAGATCTGAAATCACTATCTTCCAGGTTATCCCAAAAACCTGCCACTGGTCATTCACTCTCCCTGCCGTTTTTTTCAGTCTCACCTCATGCACTTCTATTGTGGACTTTCAAATTTAGTGTTTTGAGATTTTAATAGTGTCTTCTAAATATTTTAGAAGCAACATCTTGGATAAAGTTCATCAATATGAAAGAGCTGGGCATGGTGGTTCATGCCTTTGAGGCTAGCTTGGTCTGCCTTGTGAGCTTCAGGACAGACAGGGCTAAGCAGAGAGATCTTGTCTTAAAAACAACAAAAAGTTAACCAGTATGTGGATGATCGTGACCATATCTACTTTTGTGTGCTTTCTACACTGCAAATAGCTTAAAAAAAAAAAATTCAAAGCAATCTGATGAACCAGAACTACGGGGCTAGGTTTTAAATCTTCCAACCAAGCTAAGATTAGAGACTTCTACACTTAAGACCACTTTAACATACACTTGAGGCAGTGCCAGACTGAGGTTTCTGCATGCCACCTTTACAGAACTTACACAAAAAGAGAAAGAGGAATCTTGTTTTGATATTGGTGCCGAGCCAAATCTTAATGGCCACAGAGACACAGTGGTATCTAATGGCTCATTCTTCCAGTTTACAGGGGTTCAGTTCCTAGGGCAGGAGAGCACTTAAAGAGGAGAGGAGGAGAGGCAAGACTTATGAAGTCTGTTAAGTGCGTAAAATGTGAGAACTGTTTAAAAGCTTAAAATGGTGAGCTGGGTTCGATGACACGCCTTTAATCCCAACACTTGTGAGACAGAGGCGGGTGGATCTCTGTGAGTCTGAGGCAGCCTGGTCTAGAGTGAGTTCCAGGACAGCTAGGGCTACACAGAGAAACCCTGCCTCGACCCCCACCCCAAATGCTTAAGTGGGGGCCTGGAGATGGCTCTGTGGTTTAGAATAATAGGTCCTTTTGTAGAGAAACCAGGTTTAATTGCCAGCATTGATATGGTGGTTCAAAACCATAGGTAACTCTAGTTTCAGGGGATCTGATGCCCTCTTCTGGCCTCTGCATTGGGCATGTTTGTGAGTGGACATACATGAAGGCAAAACACCCATACACATAAAATAAGTATTTTAAAATTTTAAAATGAGCCAGGAAGTGGTGACACACACCTTTAATCCCAGCACTTGGGAGGCAGAGACAGGTGGATCTCTGTGAGTTCTACCCTTATTCTACAGATTGAGTTTCAGTACAGCCAGAACTGTTACACAGAGAAACTCTGTCAAAAAAAGGCTTAAAATGGAATTGGAATAATGTTTTCAAAATGGTTTTAAGACACTGTCTATTATTCATTAGCATTCATTATTCATGAACATGTCTACTACTCATTATTCCAGCACAGACAGGGCCTCAATCAAATTACTTAGAAAAGCAGATACATACCAACAATCAAGCTGGGAAGCATAAGTTCAAGTCTGAATCAGTTACCTGGTTGCACAAGGTTGATCATATATATAAATTTACCCAGCAGACTGTTGCTGTTTGACCCCTCACAGAGCAGAATTGTGTGTAGAAAGGGTAGACTAAAATGTAATAATTCTTATTCTTTTTTTTTTTTTTTATTTCCACAGCTGGGGATTGAATCCAGGACCTCATGCACAGTAGACAAGAGTACTATCACTAAACTATGTAACAACAACCTAAGTCAAGGCAATTCTTCTGATAACATTTTAGGGAGTTCTTGTTCATATATGACATAAAATATACTATTCTATGCTGACCTAGCCTTTAGCCACTAGGAAGGATGTTAGAGGCAGGGAAGAGGTATGTATCATATTGAGAAACAATATAACTTAACCTAATTAACAAGAAAAAGAGATATGGCTGCCTATTGTTTTCAGCCAAAACTCTTCTGGGACAGGGGAGATGGCTGAGTGGACACAGGTGCCTGAGTGCAGGCCTCATGACCTGAATTCCATCCCCTATCCTGCAAGGTGGCAGGAGAGAACCAATTCTTGAGGCTCTCCTCTGACATGTACTTGTGGGGGGGGGGGATGGAGGGTGGACAGGATGGGACAAGCACACCTGCATCACGCACATATATAATACATTCATCATACGCACAAACACACTTAATAAAAGCAATTTCTAAATTTCTATGTTGAACACAGTAATATACAGAAACAAAAATATCAACTATTAATGAAGATCTGTGTAGAACCACAAAAGCAAATGCCTGTGTATGCGATCACAGGGAAGTTCGTTCTCAAACAGGCAAAACAAGCTCATTTTCAAATCCTGTTAATGTATATTCAAATTTCAAGCAGAAAGGAAGCTAGTAAACTGAAAATCTGACATTCAAAAATCAACCACTCAGTCAGTCAGTCACCAAATGAAGATTATTTCAATAGTCAAAAAAGGAAAGAAGCTGGCCAAGAACACAGCAAAGGCAGAATGTTTCTCTGGACTCTAATAGGGCTAGTACACTAGAAAGCACAACCAGAAATCTTGCAACTTATATGGTTATTTGAAACCTACATGGAAAATAGTAGATTTTATCTTTGCAATTCTGTATCTTGCTTTATTTTAGTAACAGACTATGTATTTTCCCACATATCTAGAGTTGTAGATCATGTACTTGCCTTATGGCTATGTGTAAAATGTATGATTTTGCCAGCATATGATCTAAGGATGAAAGAAATGACTGATTAAATGCATTTAGGCTCTGACCCCTCCTCCCCCATCAGATTGATGCCTGTTACATGCTGGACACTGTGTCAAGCACTTTTCTAGGTATTTCCTTCATTAGACTTCAGGTAAGTGCTATTTTTGTGTCTGTTAATGTCAAAGCTGAAAATGCTCAATTTAAGGCAAGCTTTGCAAGGCTGTTTTTAAATCATTTCATGTTTGACTGAAAGAGGCACGGAGACAGGACAAGAGTGAACAAGTGTACTTTGGACACTAGGCCAGAACTTATTAAGTGCATAAATAGGAGCTCACCACAGTAAAGACACCTCTTAAGAATACTAGATTTTCTCAGAGATCTCCAAGAACCACAGCATGTCTCTAAACTTTGTTCTACAGTGAAGGATTAAAAAAGTCAAACTAAGATAAAGTAGATAGATAAGAAAAATAAAACTTAAAATGTAGCTTATGTAGACTAGGATACACAGAATGTTCAGTTTTACTAGCAATACAGCAGAAGAACTAGAAAACAAGCAAGTTAAATTTAATTATAAAATAAGGCCAAGCAAAATGACAAAGTCTACTTATCACAGAAGGTCATGTTCCCTAAGCTCTGTCTTTGAGACTTTCACTGGCCAGGCCAAGCCACACTCACTGTAACTACTGGAGGACTAGGAAGCCCTTTGATCATTAAGTGGGTATTTCAAGTAACTGGTTTACTAAGCCCAATAAACAACATTAATTATATCTGAGTAAAAAAACACACATGTGTCTTCACAATGCTTTCTAATGATTCTAGTTTATTGTGTAGCCTTATTGTACAGGACTCACTGCAAATAGTCTCTGTTTTCTATTTCTTATCAGCTTTGAGAGCCACTAAAGCCCTGAATTAAGGCTCTTAGCTCTCCACAGAGCAATGTATGGCTTTTGTGTGGGACTGGATGAAATTATATGAGGGAGTATAGGATATACCCTGGGGCTTCTCCCCAACTCAATTCAGAGTAAACAGACCTGTGCTGAGAAAGCGTAAAGTGGTAGGATGATTAATCTTCAATTTTTTGTGGGGTCACCCTATTTGTTGGCACCCTAATATCAGCATACTTGAACACCATGTAACTTTTTACCATATTTTATGTATTGGGAAACAATTCTAAGACATCTAAGATCTAAGACCTGAGTCTTTCCCTGCAGTACTAGAGCACCACCTTGTGTCAGGAAACTGACCGAAAGCAAAGAAAGCTGTATTTCAGATACCTTAGTTGTCCAAAGTTTTACTGTCCAGTCAAATGAAGAAGTGACAAACAGATGTGAGAAGTCTACTGCTCCAACAGCCGCATGACAGTGGATTCCAGTGATGGGTCCCTGATGTCCCTCAAACATCTCACTGATTCCAGCTTTGCTATTTCATAAAAGTGAAAATGTTAGGGAACTCTCTTATAAGTACATCATATATTTTCTGAATGTTTTAATTAATTTATTTTTTTAAGACAGGGTCTCACTAGGCTGAGCTGCTCTGGAACTTATTATACAGGCCAGGCTAATTTCAAACTCAGAGATCCACCTTCCTTTACCTCCAGAGTGTTGAGATTAAATGTGTGAACCATCACAACCAGCCAGTGTATCTTACTGTGGGCTTGTATACCAGACCTTGACTTAATTTCAAACACAATTTTATGTTCATAGTTCATCAGCATAACTTATGCCAGATGTTATTGTATTCAGATTTGATAACACTACTAAAGTAGTGGGGACATTTTGGAGCCATAAACACCATGCTGTTGACAAGTGAACTCAAAAGTACAATATTCATGGTGGTAGAATAAGGACAGCGATGCTGTGTAAGAGATAATCTGGACTAATTTAAATTAAAAGCTTTGAAATGAAGGTGATCTTTATTGGAAATGAGGTCCAGATGCTCAATGTTTTTAAAAGACAACTAGACAATTTCAAAACAGACTAAATAGCTGGAAAATACTAGTCAGTTTAACATATGTAGTGACATTACTCTACCATTACCAGTAGGCTAAAGTGCAAAGTTCAAACAAACCCAAACAGAAAACAGGTAACAATCACATTTATATACTGAAGGCCAACTGTGGTATATGCATACTGCATTTCTAATTGCTGAATACACCTCCTACCAGTAACTTCTGTGAGCATATGCCACACAAATCCCTACATTATACCTCAACCCACACAATCCAAAACACACGAATCCAAACTACATCTGTTAAAAAAATTTAGTATGTTTTAGGTGTCTGAATTTATTATGTCACAAATCTAGGACAGGATTCTATTTAAATAAGGAGCAAGTTGTTTCAATGAGATGATTCAAGAGAAAATTTTAATAATGGCTAATTCCTATCAAGTTTACCTGCCGTGGCGGCATGCTGTATATACAGAACCTTCTTCACTACCCACAACAAAGTTGTTGACATCTCCAACAGGGAAGGACATTGAAGTTACAGCTACTGCCTTTGACTGTTTATGAACCAACTCCATGCTATCCTACATAGGAAAAAATGAGAAAACTATTTTGTAAAGTTTTAATTTCAATTCTTCATAAAAAAAAGCTTCTACTTTTAACTGGTTTGTAAGTTACTGCTTTAACATACTATTAATATAAACCTACATCAGTTAGATGAAAAAGATTTGATAAGATATATTCAAACTATCAACACACATTTAGATTTATAATCTGTGTAATATAAAAAACAGCATAGGATATAAATGAAACGGGTATATATACAATTAAAAACTAACATTTACTTCAAAATTCCACATTCCTAAGTTTAACCCACCTGTGGGTGGGAAAGCATGTCCAAACTCCAGGAGCAAATTTTCCCATCAGTAGAGATGCTAATTAGATTATGAGCATTTTGTGTTCCAACAACATTCACACAGTAGACAGGGTGCTAAAAACATGAAACAGGGTTTTCAGAGGTTATTTAAAAACAAACAAACAAAAATTTGTCTAATGATGTCACTTCATATCAAAACAGCCTTTGCTTTGTTGCTACTGGGAACTGAACCAAGAACCTTGAGCATTGTTGGGACAGTACCCCATCACTGAGTTACAGCTTCACAGCCCTGGGATTAGTTTTAACATGAATTTGTTGCTATTCCGATGATCAATAAAAGGTTGTTTTAGAAGACAGATGACTTCCTGAGATATGTACCCCCCCACATACAAG